ATTCAAGATTTTTGATTGCACCTTGATTTGGCCCAGTGATGCTTTCGGTGTATCTATATATACATATATACATACAATTCCAGCAGTCACAGTCTGCATGTTGCCTCGCCAAGCGGTCGCCTCTGCTGCGCGGGATTCAGCGCCCACCGCGCTCTGCGAACGCCCACATGCCTTTCTGCTTGATGTACGCCCCATTTGCCCATCTCCTCACACCTTACTGCCACCCTCCTCATCCACACTCACACACTCTCCTCACATCAGCCTCCAGACCCCCCCGCATAGCCTACGCGGCATCGAAACACCCAGGACGTACCTTCATTATGCTCCTCGCTCTACCAATACGCTTCTTTGCGCTCGCTGCCTTCATCGCAATCTCGACTTTGAAGTTGGCCAAACAAGTCCAGGCAAAGGAGCATTACCTCATCGAGACTGACCCAGCAGTAACCAAATGCTACCACCAAGGCGCGGATACCAAGAACGACTGCTCAAAGTCGTTTGACAGAGTGCGTAGAGATCATCGCGGACAGCCGAGATGCCATTCTCACGCTTGGTCTGACTCTTGACTGATGTGAATGTCTTCTTCGCCTTTATTTCACCTTTGCGCAGCTATGGGATATACGATGGCGCGTGTGCAATCATGTCGAGGCTTTTGGCTTCAACAAGGGCACTCCACACCAAGCATGGGTCACCAATCCGGATTGCGAACATCGCGGAGTCTTCTTCAGGTCGGATGACGAGGGTAACTTGGATGACTGCTTTGATGGAACTGCCGTCACCATCGAACAATGCCAATTGAACGGCTGTCAGGCGAAGAACACTTGCTTTGCGAGTGGCGTGACTCACATGCGCAATCGTGAGTCGAATATCCACCTTCAGGCACGCCATGAGGAAGCGCAGATTCGGTCATAGAGGAGATGAGGAGTGCGAGTACTGACGGCGAGCTTTCCATACCATCATTCCGAATCTGATGAAATAGAAACATTCCAGGTCAGTCTTGACGATTTGAGAGTGGAGGCGGACATTGCCGCAAACGCTCACTCTTCTACCCGTCGTGCCTCCAACAGACCGTTCGCTGGCTCGAAGGCGACGGGTCGCCAGTGCCGCGGCCACCTCCGTCAAAACGCACACGAAGTTGCAAGCCAGAGAAGAAACAGTCCAATGCGCGTCGACATTTGGAAAGATCAAGGTCTGGCACGATGTTATTATCGCGGCGAGATACATGTGAGCCTAGTGGCCTATGAGCGCTGTGAAAGAGGGCGAGTTGCCGACTTTGCTGACATGCGACGCGGCGCCTATGCAGCTGGCATTATATCCTCGCACTTTGCCGATGGAACTCAGATCTACTCGTGAGTATAGGGATGCTAGTGGAAGCGCGCTTGACGCCAAACTCACTCGTCTTGGCTGCGCTGGTGCACCTATCCGCTTCAGAGTCAGACCGGGGCGCGAATGAGGCTCAACGTCTTCGACACGCACGGCTTCGAGCCATTCGCGATGATGCTTCTACTTTCAGTTCACGCCTTGATATACCGTCACCCTGTCGATCTCGACGGGCGACACCTATCGCCCAGAATGGAGCATGTCCTGCCTACGCTCCTATCGCTGCCTCCATTGTCAACCCATCAAAGCAGTCGCCCGAAATGGTGTCTGGCTACCATCGGCACCTCCCTTCTCGACATTCCTTTCTGGTCACTCTTTTTTTGATTTCGAATCTGTTCTGACTGATCTGCCTACTTGAGGCCGTTCTCGAGCTGGTCCCTGAGACGGTCTGACGCGCAACACGATTTGCCGGCACACTTCTGAGCAAAGGTACTGCTTGAAATTGCTAGTCGATGGCAAGGCTCGTTGTGAGCGCTGGAGACCTGTTTTTTTTGAAGAAATACATTGTGATTGTAAGACCGCAAAGAATACGGAGAAGGAGCTGTCGACAAGAAATGAGGGTATACCATAGGTGACCAGTACGCCGTGGGACATGAGCACTGTACATCATTCGAACGAAGGCTGGAGAAGGCTTAGGCAAGCTTCTCGTCGATGGAGCTGCGTGGCTGTTCGTCGCCTCTTCTGCTGTGCTTGGATGCAGAAGGCCATCTGAATTGCTGGCAGGCGGCATTTGCGTGCGAAATTTCGTCTCCGCTGGGATACGTGGTGCTTCGACCGCTGCTGCTCGTGGATGTTCGCGGTGGCAAGGCGAGAAGAGGCGAGCTGCTGCTGCTGCTGCGCGGCGAGTCGGATGCGGTGATGGCCGGTGCGGAGGATGAAGGAAAGTAGTGGTGGATGCGCGCTCGCAAGAGCTGCATGTACCAGCGGTGAATGACCAGGAAACAATACAGCCTGTTTTGGCAGTAGAGGGTGCGACCGATGACGTGAGTGTGAGTGCTCTTCCCTCGCCTCTTGCCTCGTGGCGCGACCGTTCCGACCGACCGCTCGATACGCACCGCACAGCTGTATATAGCAAACTAGCCAGCATTACGATAGGAATCACATCCCTCGTGAAAGCATCGTCGCGATTCTCATCCGTGAAAGTCTCTTCCAAGAGCCGTTCCCATGCGCTTGGTTCACCAGTGCCTTCGTTTTTGCCCGTCATGCCGCCATTCCATACCGAGCTGAGGGAGCCGGCGCTTAGGAACTCGCAAAGCTGCGATCTGATCTCGGCATTGGTCAGCAAGATGAGCAGTGCGAGCAGAGAGGCCGTAAAGAGGAAGAGATCGAGGAAGGAGGAAAGGACGAAGATGCGAGTGGCGAACAAGGAGGGCTACGCGGGGGCGCACCATGGGCGTGTGTAAGCATTGCGGTACATCCGCGTGTTCCAGCAATGGGGCGACCAGCATCTCACCTTGAGCACGCCAACAATACCGGCAAGACTAGCAGCTGCGCTCAACAACGCATACACTCTCAAAGTTTTCGTCACCAATCTAGCAGAGTCCCAATTCCGCCTTTCCCGACCTCCATCCGCCGTCTGGAATATGCGCAGCTTTTGAGACGTCTCGATAGAAGCTGCATGGTAGTGCGGTAAAAGATTGTGCCACGCCCAAGTTTCCGGCTCGCTTGTAGATGCAGAGGCTGCCGATGTGTTGTTGCTCGAGGAGGAGGAGGAGGACAAGAACGGTGAGGACTGAAGTGGTGGGCGACGCGCGTCTTCATGCACAGAAGTCGCAGTGGCCGTGAGCGCGAGTGGGGCGACGGCGACTCGGAGCAGCGAAGGCTTTTGAGCAGCCAAAGGCACCAAAGGAAAACTATCTTGAAGCGCGCCCATGGCTGAAAATAGTCGGATGTGGGAGATCAGACCCAAGGCGGCGAGCAGCAGCGTGGCCGTTCTGGCTGTTGGTAAGCCGCAGCAGCGCGCGGGAGCGAAGCGCCATCTGTTGGCGTATCTGGATTGACTGACAGTCATGGAATGGCTGGAAGAGGAGGCATAGCCTCGCACTGATTCGTGCATGACTGACTGACAAGGTGTAGACTCGATTGAAAAGTGACGGTCGTTGGCAGCTTGCTTGCCCTTGCGATTTTTCCCGCAGGTGGCGCGCTCGCAGCAACAAGAGGACCGGAGTGCGGGACGATTCTCAAAGCTTTTTGGTTGAAGGGTGCCAGCGATGAGGATGGTGTTCGACATCGACGAGCTCTCAAAGTGCGGTCTGCTTTCTCTACGCAGAACGCTTCGCTTGCAGAACAAATATCCGTGATTGAATCAGGTGGAGCCATTTGATTGTTACGTATGCGCGCTGACCGTTGCTGATTGAGCTTCGGATGTTTGGTCCACCTGTGTCGGAGCTCTAAAGCCGAATCAAATTGATTTCTGTCCCGGAGGCTATAGTCCAGTCGCCATCGGCGGAGAGGATTGACGATTGCATCCGATCGAGCAGCTGATTCGCAATTCGTAAAATGCGCTTTTGAGCATCTTTACATTCAAAGGTGAATACGAAATCCAAGCTTAGCTTGCTGACAGAAACCCAAGTCGACTCTTGAACG